GCGAGAAACAGTGGGCTGTATCTGTGGGTCATGTTCTCGTCGATTCTATTACGAACTGCAACAAAAAAATAAATTATATAGACCATTCGGTTCTATGATATTTGCTTTAAATTAGTGTGCAATGAACCATACTCTGTTACTCAACCACTGAAGTCGATGTGGTTACAGATCGTTGACGACATTTGATAACTATAATTTAAGACTACGACACAAAACGCAAATTATATAGGCGTTGAGTAATAATAGAGGAATAATTATTGCGAATCTAACAACTATTATATAAACATGTCAATTACATTTATTAGTAACATAAGAAAAAGGATATGGACTAATTTTTTCTTCTTAGAGGTGTGGATGAGCTCACAGCCCACCTGGTGTTAAGTGATTATTCTATCCCATAGACATCTACAACGAAGGTCTCAGTATAGTTACAACGGCTGCCCCGCCCTTCAAACCGAAACGCATTACTGCTTCACGGCAGAAATGGGCGGGGTGGTGGTACCTGCCCGTGCGGACTTACAAGACGACCTAGCAGTGTTTGTTTTTATTGCATAGATGGTTGGACGAGCTCACAGCCCACCTAATGTTAAGTGGTTACTGGAGCCCATAGACATCTACAACGTACATGCGCCACCAATCTTGAGCTATAAGTTCTAAGGTCTAAGGCAGGATATAAGTTCTATGGTTACGGAATTTAAATTTTTAATACACGATATTACATTATTTACATATGCTTATAACATATTTCATTAGAAAATCAACTCTAAATCGACTCTCAATCAAAATTGTATAAAAACAGTTTCCTCGATTTATTGATTATATTTAACAACTAGTTTCCTGCATCCACCAGCGTTCAGCAAGAACAAAAACATAATGAATGTCATTCACTTCACATAGTTACGTTTGTAATTAGGTTCCACATGCAAGAATAGGAAATTGCGTACCTATGTATCGTAAAAACTAAATGCCATGGGTAAAGCACAATGTACAGTTTTTGCAGCTGTATGTAAAGTGATATAGTTGGCAACGGCTCCTCCCGATCCACTAACGGTGCTTTTAGGTACCACAAGCACCGGTCACCGTCCTCGTCGAACCCGTAGCTTGCGACGAAGGGCTCGACGAATGAATTAACCCATAAAGACATAGCCCACTGATTTTCTCGCCAGATCTTCTCAGTGGGCCGTGTTTCCGATCCGGTGGTAGATTCTGCGAAGCACTGCTCTTGCCAGGACCAGTGTTAGCAACACTCCCGGTTTGAGCCCCGTGAGATCACCTACACGTCAAGGAGAAGCCCCTAACCCATGCATCAACCCGCTGAGTTTCTCGCCGGATCTTCTCAGCGGGTCGCGATTCCGATCCGGTAGTAGATTCATTCGCGAAGCAGCTGCTCTCGAGTTGTTAGGTCTCCTTCGGAGGCGCTCGGGCAGCTATTAGCAAATCCCACCCCTCCTGGCTGAGCCTTTGCTCGCTCACTTGTCCTGGTGAAACTGGAAAGGCCTCCGGGCCACCAGTAATCCTTCAATCATAAAAAAGGAGAAGCTGAAATAGCCTCTCAAGGCTATTCGCAGAGACAACCTGAGAGAATTCACTAACTAGCCCTAACATGGGCAGTGATTCTCTGAATCTATCTAATCGGAATCGCGACCTAGCGAGAATGACTACACCCATATTTATTTATTTATTTATTTAGTCTACTTACCAATTAATAGTATAAACCAAAACATTTGTAAGGTATTAATAATTATTAGCTTAAGTAATTCCTAACACCAACAATAAATCGCTGCAAACCATCATGGAATATATCCATTTCCGGAGCATAGGCTAGTAAGCCATTGAGTACCGAGACAGCACGATGTGTCGGAGAGTTAGCGGTGTGCTGCGTACGCGCGTGCGTGGTACTAAGAAGCTGCCGCTGGCGACGCACCCCTCCACACATACATCCGCGCATGTAGCCGTCAGGCACATATAGCGACACTGATTCCAGTGCAGTGGAGTTATCAATTATGCAATAACTGTTAATAATGCACCATAAGAGTCATCTTCCGTCTCAGCTCAAGAGTATCTAACCGGACCATACCGGTCACATAAAGTGATGGATACCAGAAGCCAAATACCAGAAGTTTGATTGCGTGAAGCTTCTTACTTCTGCTATCACTGTGATATGTTATTATTGATACTCATTCCGCATTGAAAAACGCATGGATTGAGTAAATACTGTAAGTCCTATTCGTGACTGACGCAACACTTCCTGGTACAGTTTATAAGGGCTTGGTCCGCTTTCTAGAACGCCCCAGTCTGATGAAGTTTTCAATTTTATACGAATAGACGATGTTAATACGTTTCAAGTTAGTTTTGTAATAGTTTTAACTTTTTATTGAGTTGGGAGAATTTATTGCATTTTTTATTTGTAACTGCAGATGAGTGAAGGAACTGACGGCCTATCTGCTATTTAGTGTGAATGTCACCATCCACGCCTCGGCATTTGAGGTCGTCGTGGCCTAAAGGATAAGACGTCCGGTGCATTCGTATGTAGCGATGCACCGGTGTACGAATCCCGCAGGCGGGTACCAATTTTTCTAATGAAATACGTAGTCAACAAATGTTCACGATTGACTTCCACGGCGAAGGAATAAATAACATCGTGTAATAAAAATCAAACCCGCAAAATTATGATTTGCGTAATTACTGGTGGTAGAACCTCTTGTGAGTCCGCACGGGTAGGTACCACCACCCCGCCTATTTCTGCCGTGAAGCAGTAATGCGTTTCGGTTTGTAGGGTGGGGCAGCCGATTTAACTATAGGTACTTGAGACCTTAGAACTTATATCGCAAGGTGGGTGGCGCATTTACATTGTAGATGTCTATGGGCTCCAGTAACCACTTAACACCAGGTGGGCTGTGAGCTTGTCACTCATCTAAGCAATAAAAAAAAGTGGCTGAATTCTCAATTTTATCGTATAATAGACGTATCAACCTTCACACATAATTAAAAAAAAACATACCGTATTAATATTTAAACATGTGATCTTATCGAGGGGTGAAATACTTTATTTTAAGCGACATTTCGCTTAATACGCGACATTTCGCTTAATACACGACATTTATCATTGTAATTAAAGGTCATTTTATTTGGTATTGGCATTAACGATTAGATGTTTTTAATTGAACTTCAATTATGTTTACCCCCATTCAAATAGCCGAAGAAGTTTGTTTGCCGTGATATTTGTATCAAATTTTAAACTTTAAATGGCTCTCCAGTATTGTCGTAAAAATATAAAATAGGTATCACCACCCCGCCTATTTCTGCCATGAATCAATAATGCGTTTCGGTTTGAAGGGCGGGGCAGCCGTTGTAACTATACTTGAAACCTTAGAACTTATATCTCAAGGTGGGTGGCGCATTTACGTGGTAGATATCTATGGGCTCCAGTAACCATTTAACACCAGGTGGGCTGTGAGCTCGTCCATCCATCTAAGCAATAAAAAAAAATGCCGCTTTCACCAAATAGACATCCATTCATTCCTAGTTATTATTAACGTGCGTTAAGGTATTTCCTTTGAAAAATTAGTAGGTACCTGCCCGCGATATTTGAGCACCGTTATAATCGTATCTTTTGATGCTAGTACAAAGGGCGTCCTTATCCTTTCGACCACGACGACTGTGCTGCCATCTATCGAGATATCAGATATGAAATAAAAATACTTGTAGATTAAACTAAGGTATCCTTAAACCGTAAACCTTATTAAATCACTGATAAATAAACATCTATATATTAATACGTGAAGCAAAATTTTGTAGGTACCCCTTTTTACGAAAACTGCGCGGACGGAGGAGTATGAAATTTCCCACACTTATAGAGAATATAGAGAAGGATTGCAGAATGTTATTTTTTTTTAATTATGCATAAAAACACATTAAACCAATAAAGAAAACATTACACACACTACCATCTATTTGACACACAGACGCATGCATATAGGTATACATGTATACTCTGTTTATTGTCAAAGTTTTGTTATTATTTAAAGTCTGTGGTCAAATTGAGAATAGATCAATATTATTTGGCTTTAATATTATTTGTCTAAAGTGTAGTCTTGAAATCTGTGAATAAAGAAGTATACATTTTTGACAATAGAACTATAATAATAATCAAACTTATAATTTAAATTAATTATAGTAGAATTTCGACTACTGCGGGACCACTAGTTAATGATAAATATTTCACAATAAACCATAGTATCACAATTTATTTACATGGCATGTGTCAAAAAAGGTCCAGTTCTAAACACGTTATCATGCCATCGACAGAGGCAATATAACGTTTTATCAATTAAAAAAAAACAGCATCATGATGATTATATATATAAAAACGTTTTCACCTCACGCTTTTTTACAATAAAATCATTTTGTCTTACACTATTTTTAATTAAAATTTATTTAAATTTATTTTCTATTTTTTTAGATTTTCTATAAGCGTTTTATTTTGTTTTTTTTTTAAACTATTATTTATTTTTCATTTTTTAGTTGAATTTCAAATTTTTGTTTTTAATTTTTTTATTTTGTCATCGTTCCTTAATAAGTATACCAAATTTCGAGTTAATCCGACGTTTTGAAGGGGGTCAAAATCATGTTCAAAGATTTCGTTACAAATATACATTTTATTTATTTATTTGTATTGCGAAGGTGGGTGGACGAGCTCACAGCCCACCTGGTGTTAAATGGTTACTGGAGCCGATAGACATCCACAACGTAAATGCGCCACCCACCTTGAGATATAAGTTCTAAGGTCTCAAGTATAGTTACAACGGCTGCCCCACCCTTCAAACCGAAACGCATTACTGATTCACGGCAGAAATAGGCAGGGTGGTGGTACCCATCCGCGCGGACTCACAAGAGGTCCTACCAGCAGTAACGTACATACTAACATGCATACGTCTGAAGCTAATAAAAGCGTATTTAAAAAAATCATCATGATGATTAAATATCATATCGTTTCGCAGACGCGGTGGTGGGGGCCAGCAGGAGTCGCCGCGAACTCAGCGAAAAGATCAACAGGTACAGAACAGACAGACCAAAGTCACTTCCTACATCATTTGCACACGATTCTCCGCACGAGACGGACGTGTCGTTTACAAACACAGTTACAACAACATAACAAATTGTTTAGCGCTTGTTTTTATTTTCGTGATTCTCTAAGCCCTTGTGTTATTGTTAAATCGAGTATTTCTCACGGATCGCTTAGCAATTGGGACCTTTTTTGGGATAAAGAGGTCTGATGCCGTATGACAACCTTGGAACCTGAAGAGTGTACCTTGTGAGTATTAGTGTAATGTGAACGTAAACAAATTGCGGCCTTGGGAACGTTTGTATTAATTTAAAATTATTGTGAAATGAACGAGGAAAATGTTTAAACAAGTGTGTCCCGACGTAGTTTGTTTTTCAATTTTTTTTCTTCGTTAATAAGCAGTTATACTGTTGTAGCAATATTTGTGTAACCTTGTCGTACTAATTGACTCGTAATTAATGTGCATTCTTAGTTTATAACTTGAATTTAATCTACATTTCCACCTAATTAATGTCCTTCAATGATTTAGTAGAGTTTACCAGTTGTTACCAATTTTTTTATTATTATTAAAAATGTTTTATTGCGTAAAACAATCTCACGCAATTCAGATAAAATGCAACAATCACTTTATAATTCGTAAGCGACAGTGTTGTTAACATTTCGCGTAATAAAACTCGAACAATGAATTGTTTGTTACACGTAAACAAGATCGCACGTTGTTACAAAATTATTACGATTACAAAACCGAGTAGGTACCTACATACGGCTTGTTGTTATCGTCACACGTCGAGATTCGTTCGGAAAACGAGTCTTGATTTGCAGCTTCGCCGTCCAAAAACATTGAAAGTCGGCCGCGGTGAGAGGGGCGGACCGAGCGGCCTTGCCCCACTTGCTAAATTACGTGACTCTTTCTGTAATAGCCACTTGTGTTGCATTGTGTAAGTGTAATGGACAACTCTGAACCTTAGATGGCTCTGCTATTATAAACGACTAGCCGTACCCGTCCGCTTCGCTGGCCATTTAAAATTAACATTATTATTTCTCACTCCCACAAAGATTCCCATCATTAACGCCCCCGCAACTGGTGTAGGGAGTCCGACACTCATATAAAGATTAGCCTATCCATTAAGTATATGTATTTTCTACACGGATACCAAGTTTCAAGTCAATCGGATACATGGTTCAGTAGTTACAACGGAACATCTATAAAAACCGCTGTAGATTAATATGTTATTTGTATAGACTATAGATAGTAATACATCGAGCATTTGAAATAACGCACACAGACATACTCGTATGACTCGGGGCGTGTTCCTTTTATAAACAAAAAGAAAAAGACAAAAACACCTGGCGCATATTGATTGTAACGGTAAATAATAGTAACTGTTGAACAAATATTGGTTCCACGTTCGTATCTGTGATGATAGGTTTGTTTGCAGAGCTGGTCCCGCGAAGCCGCGTCGTCCCGACCGCGCGGTCTACGTGCCCAGAGCTCTGCGGCAGGCCGACAACGCATCATCGGACGAAAGTAAAACCGAGAACAACAAACGGACCAGCCAAGTTAACGAGATACCAAAGTGCCCTAAGTCGCCAGCGCCGAGAGACAAGTCCGCTCACGGCACACCCAGGAAGTCCTTAGACAAAACCTTCTGCAACGTCTACGTGCCGCCGCACCTCAGGAATCAGAGATCTCCTCAAGCCGCTAACGACCCGCCAGACGTCCAGACGACGTCCTCCGACGCAAACGAATCCGTGCCTTCAGGCTACCAAGTGCCAAATAGTGATAGTGCAATATCGTTTAGTGCCGAGAATTTAGGTGACGTTGAAGTGAACGAGAGTTTTTATATAGGTGATTATTTCGCGAACGGACAGCTAGGGTTCTACAGCCCGAGCTATTACGGCGAGTACGCGGACCCGAGCCGGGAATACGGGTCGGACCGGACCCAGTGGCGGACCAATGAGCTAGACGACAACATGGCGATGAACGAACAGAATCAAAGCAATATTATAGATAAGGATTATATATACGAGAAAGATGGAGATTACGAGAAGGAGGAGCTTAGAAGAGCTTCGCAGGAGATCAATAGGAGCAGCAAGAGGATCATAAAGCAGAGTTTCGATTCCGACGTGCTCGTTATATCGGATCCAGCTGACGAAACAGAAGAGAAGACAGACGTTTCGGTCGTGCCAGAGAAGGACGTGAAAGAGCCAGAAGCGAAGAAAACCAAACCGAAACTTGAGCCCAAAGTTTCTTTGAAGCGGGAAGATAACGACTGGGACGCGGTTTTCGATGACACGGGCGAGTGCCTTGACCCGTCTCTGTTGGAGGAGCTGACGACGACCGTAGGCAGGGTCCACATCAGCAAGGCCAAGAACAATTACGAGCAGTACCAGACCAGGGGTCAGTCGTTGTTCAACGGTCCCTACGACGAGACGTTTGGTCACGTCGTCGAAGTGTACGACTTCCCTAGTGAATTCAAAACGAACGATTTGTTCTCGTTGTTCAGTGAATATAAGGACACCGGCTTCGAGATTAAGTGGGTCGATGACACGCACGCCCTGATCGTCTTCAGCAGCGCCAAGATCGGTGAGTTGTGTTTTATTATTATTACACTAGATGATGACCGGTTTTTTTTTTTATAACGCCATCTTCTTGTGTCTTTAAAGCGGTTAGTTGCCCTCAATTAAGAAAAATAGTATTATTATTCCCCAATAGATGTCGGGAAGAGTTGATTATTGAAAATACGAATAAAACAAGATTTTCTGAGAATAAATTGTAGCTAGATCGATTTATCGCCCCCGAAATTCCCTGTATACAAAATTTTATGAAAATGGTTTTTTTTTTTATTGCTTAGATAGGTGGACGAGCTCACAGCCCACCTGGTGTTAAGTGGTTACTGGAGCCCATAGACATCTACAACGTAGACGCGCCACCCACTTTGAGATACAAGTTCTAAAGTCTCAGTATAGTTACAACGGCTGCCCCGCCCTTCAAACCGAAACGCATTACTGCTTCAGGGTAGAAATAGACAGGGCGGTGGTACCTATCCGCGCGGACTCACAAGTGTTCCTACCACCAGTAAAAGTTGATGCCGTTTCCGAGATTCAGATTATCTATATACAAGAATTGCTCGTTTAAAGGTATAAGATAAGATTTAGTTTCTTTTTCTCGAATTTTCGGTAATTAATGGGGCAAACCTCTAGGTCAATTGGAGTTCTTTTTTTTATTGCTTAGATGTGTGGTCAAGGTCACAGCCCATCTGGTGCTAAGTGGTTACCGGTAAGCCCATAGACATTCATAACGTAAAGGTATAGTTAAAACGGCTGCCTCACTCTTCAAACCGAAACACAATACTGCTTCACGGCAAAAATAGGAAGGTTGGTGGTACCCACCCATGCGGACTCGCAAGAGGTCCTACCACCAGTTCACCATGCGAACTTACGTCTTACATAAATTTCCGAACAATTTTTGATATGGCTGTTTTTTGCATGATTATTATTCTAGAGGTCCCGCAGTAGTCGAAATTCGACTATAATTGGAATTGTAAGTTTGTACACTATTATGATTGTATTTTATACTTCTATGATCACAAATTTCGCCAAGACTACACTATAAAAAATATTAACAAAGACAAAAAATATTTAATCTATTTCCAATTTGACAACAGAGAAGTCAAGAACAAAAGTTTGACAATAAATAGTATGCATGCGTGTGTGCGCCAAATACATGATATGTAGTGTGTGTAATGTTTTCTTTATTGATTTAATGTATCTTTTATGCATTATTTTAAAAAAATATTAGCATTGTGCACTTCTTCTCTATATTCTCTATAAGTGTGGAAAATTTCATACTCCTCCGTCCGCGCAATTTTCGTAATAAGGGATACAAAGTTTTTGCTTCACGTATTAATATATATATATTATATTATTGCTATAATTATAGTGTATATAAACAATTCTTAGGCTATACGGTCTAAGCCAAGTGTGGGGTTCTTTCTAGAGTTTAATTAAAATAATTTTTATTATAATTTAGCGCTTAGCTGACACACAGTGTTAAGTTATGTTTTAAAGACTCTTTTAACGGATACAAAATATTGAGTTTCGGATCGAAGTTTTTTTATACATAATTAGGTAAATTTTAATGAGATATAAGAAAAATATATTTTACAGAAATATTCAATATTCAAATCTCGCGTTTTTTCCGCCTCTTACCGTAAAGTATTCTAAACGTCGGAAAGTATACGGAAGTACTTAATAAGATGACAATAAAAAATAACGTGAGAATAAACCGTAAAAGTAATCTTAATTATGTCTTACGGCTTGCTAAAACCAAAGAAAATGCTATACGTATTTCTTGCGGCTTTTGTAGGGCGACGGGCATACGGCCAGCTTGATGGTGAGTGGTTACCGCCGCTCATGGACATCAGCAATACAGACAAGTTTCGCCCTACCAAATGATATATGCTATATTAGTCAATTTTACATGTATCTGATATATAGATATTTAGTATTTTGTCATTCATGTTAGCTCAAAAACAATTCGCATAGTATATATCCTATAGAGTATATGCTTGACGCAGATTAAAAAGAACAATTTTCGTTATTAAATGGCAGAAAAATACATATTCATCTTGTTACAATTATATAATTAGCACCGTTAAAACCGATTTTCAAATTTCGTTTTATTTTCAAATTACACAACTTCATAACCTAAATTAATAAAAAATATTGTTATTTTCCAAATGACATCGGAATATTTGGTACATCCTTATCGGAGACTAATCGTGTTATCGTTTCTTCGTCGACCGATAAAATAACATTTAGTCCGTTAATTTATCAAAGGATTCATATAATAACGTATATAAGAATTGACGGTTTGCATTTTATATATTTACGAAAAGAAAATATATTAAGTAAAGCCGGTTTACGGACGATAATTTTACGACGATAACGTCAGTAGCAGAAATATTCGAACTGCTAGTTCTGACGTCACGCGAGAAGAAATATAAATGTGTCACAAGCCAACGCTTGGGCCGATCGTGCCTCTCTATCGCTTGTTCCGCGCTCTCGCTTGCACGCTAAGGCTCAGGCGGAACGTGACACTTTTTCGTGCGTGCAGCCGGTTTTCATCGATTTACAAGATGTTATCACGCCAAAAACTCTGAAAATATTAAATAAAATTTTTAGTTCAATGATATACTGCAAGTTGTCCTATGACGGTGGAATAGAGTTCATAAAACAAATTCAGTAGACTTGTCTTTTTATATTCTTGGAATTTGTCTTATCGTGAAATTAACAGAGCTCCACAACCGTTTGATGATCGAAATTCGACCAATACTGTTACTACCTTAAGATTCACTTTCGTTATGGCTGCTTTGTAATTGTGTATTTATGTATAGATAGATATTATGGCTCGTTGCACGGAATTTTTTTGATAGCTTTCTGCTTCGTGGGTGAGTTATTTGATTGGTGCGTGGTTGATTACAGTTGCCGACTTGGGTATCACAGGGATCGGCATCGACTGTTGTAAACACTATTATTTAACTCGTTCCTTAGTCTATTTTTACATTTAACGTCGAGACGATAGGAAGCCACTGTCGTATCGATATTTTTACTCGAAACAGTATTGGTCATTTACTGAATATCGAAAGAGAAGTATCGACACTTATGCTCGTATAGATCGATTTTATCGGTCGGTATTTAAAAAAAAAAACACGTGTGGCACTCGGAGACTGCCGCGGTAAAGCTATTGCATAGCATTTTTTATCAACTTATGCAATTATAATTAGACAATAAGAATTTAATATTAAAACAATTATAAAATAAGACCACGCTATATTTATAAACATTAACAAAAGCAAACCTTAACTGTCCCTTCACACTCATAAGCTAGACCGCGCGAGAGAGAGATGGGCAGACTTTTCATGATGTGCATACAGTGCGACACCACGCCGCGCGCTTATTCACAAACACTACACAAGCGCAACTTGTGAATGTGTTGAATGCGAGCTACATGGTAGGCGGAGTGAGGAGTGTTAGGTTTTATTTTCGTTACGGAATTTCTTGATTCGGTCGCCGCGCTCAAAGCCCGCGATAAAAGCTATGCAATAGCTTAGAAATAAAGATGATTTTTACCTATCTGTGGAATTTGAACACTTGTATTTTCACATTGCTCGATACTAGTTCAATGGGTGTCTTATCTTTTAGACCACGACGACTTTAAACGTGCCTGCTATTGTATGTTACCGATAATGAAAACACGGAAGTCCTACCTTAAGACTAATAGATGTAGAATGCCTAACATCTGCACTTAACATTGTTTTTGTAACTCCAGTTTTTTTTTATTTATTTATTTATTGATAAGGTGGATGGACGAGCTCACAGCTGGTGTTAAGTGGTTACCGGAGCCCATAGACATCTACAACGTTAAAGCGCCACCCACCTTGAGATATAAGTTCTAAGGTTTCAAGTATAGTTACAACGGCTGCCCCACCCTTCAAACCGCAGTACTGCTTCACAGCAGAAATAGGCAGGGTGGTGGTACCTACCCGCGCGGACTAACAAGAGGTCCTACCACCAGTAAAGTATTACGCAGTATTTCTCTTTCCATCGCAGCCATTGCGACTGACAGTATTATTAACATGTGTCTCCTGTCTATGCATCTAGCTCTTGATCAATTCGACATTGGCATGTCAACCTACGTCGTCTTCTTATTTTATTTTTCCTGCCACGCAATCTTCTAAATCCACTACAGATGTTTCGACATTACAGATCTGTGGTCGATGGCATTATCAATTTTAATTTAAACTAGGTGACCCAGCGAACTTTGTTCTGCCTTAGAGGCAATAAATGAGCAGACTTTTAATTTTATCAAGGTAAAATTTGTATTTGGATAATTAATGTAAACTAAAAAAGCAAGTATTTTAATGATACTTTATTGGCCATGTATTTTAGCTGTTATTATTATTATTATATTTTCTTGTTCTTCTTCAGTCCTTTCACTCGCAATGTTTCGAATCCTAGTTGCATTACGGCTTCGTCGGGAAAGATTTGATCGTATCGGTCGCGTCATGGCTTTCTTAATGATTACCCATCTCAGCACAATGGGCTAATAGAAACTCGAAACAAACACATCAACCGGTCAACTTCAAAATTCTACTAAAATTAACCATAGAGTACATTACGTTTAGCTGTCAGTTGCGTTTTATTATTCCATCTCAGTGGCGTTTTGATATACCACGTTTTATGTCACGTCCTACGGCAACGTGATACTTCCTATGTCCTTCTCCTGGTTCTAAGTTACCTCCCCACCAATTTTCAGCCAAATCAGTTCAGCCGTTCTTGAGATAAAAATAGTGTAACTAACACGACTTTCTTTTATATATATAGATATAGGACAATTTTTAGGTCAGTTAATCTCTAAATAACAACACGCGAATTCGTCTATAAGCGTTTTTTGCAAATTAATTATCTCGTCATATACAAAATGCTGTTTGCTTTGTTAGTAAATTTTTTCAACACAAACATTACGATCAGACAGACACAAGTATACGTGACGTAAACATGACGCAAGTGATGTGTAATATC